AACATCACCCATTTTTTAGCCCCAAACACACCCAATCTTTAGCCTTAAACACACCCATTTTTAGCCTCAAACACACCTTTCCGTAAGTCATTTTTTAAAGCCAGAACAACATCCATATTTTAACCACAAACACATCTATAACACACCCATTTTTTTTAGCCACAACAACTCCCGTTGTTTAGCCCCAAACACACCCATAACACACGCATTATTTAGCCCCAAACACACCCTATCTTTAGCCATAAACAGACCTTTCCGTAAGTCATTTTTTAGCCACAACAACACCCATATTTTAGCCACTGCAACACTCATTTTTTAGCCACAAACACACCCATAATACACCCATTTTTTTATCCAGAAACATACCCATAACACACCCTTTTTTAAGCCACAAACGCACCCAATCTTTAGTCTCAAACACACCCACTTTTAACCACCAACACACCTTTGTGTGAGTCAGTTCTTTAACCACAAACCGTTCTGTGAGTCATTTGTTTAGACACAGGCACACCTTTCCATAGCCACAAACAGACATTTCTGTGAATCAGTTTTTAGGGAAGTATTCCGTAACGAGCGACCAGGGTTAGGGTTACAGTTAGGGTTAGGGTAAGGGTTAGGGTTAGGGTTAAGGTTTGGGTTGGGCTAGGGTTAAGATTAGAGTTTGGGTTAGGGTTAGGCGGGTTAGGGTTTGGGCTAGGTCTTTTCTGTATTGTGTTTGTTGGGATGGTCACCCGTTACGGAAGTTCTTCCTTTAAAAAACAGTTTTAGCACGAGTTTTCAATGTTTATTTGGTAAAAGTTGTGCGGTCCTTGCACATGCATGTATTGTGAGCGCACATGTCACAGGTTCTCGGTACTCGCGTTGTTTAACAATACGGTGTGATTATACGTTGCAAGTAAGAAAGGTTGAAGTATCTGAAAATACGCGTGGGTGGTTGGCGGATGCTCCTGTATGGTTTGCTTCTTCTTTCCAATCAATAATAACATCTACCGACTTTATCTCCCCTCCTTCTTTTTTTTATGTTTGTTACTCTTTTGACGTATGCAGTTTCGAGCGCTGTTAAACCCCATACTAAACTAAACTTATTCTCTTGTAACACCTCTAATCTTTGGTACTTATATGACCTTATTGTGTTGCAAGTGCCGTAAAACTCTTACTAAAACTAAAACTGAAAATACGTAGTAATAATGTCAGTTGGTTTTTTTTAAGCAATCCACATTATTTAATCGTCTGAAAGCTCACAAAGCGCGTGGACCCGATGGTGTAAAAAGTAAAATTATTAAAATGTGTTCTACTCAGTTATCTCTCATTTATACTGATATTTTCAATATATCTTTCAAAGAACGAGTAATACTACTCTCGTGGAAATGCTCTCAAATAATTCCTGTCCCAAAGAAACAGCCAATACAAAATGTGAATGACCTAAGACCTGTGACTTTAACATCAGTCCTCATGAAATGTTTAGAAAAATGGGTTTTGAAAGAACTGAGGAAATCAACAGAAGACATAGAGGATAACATGCAATTTGCCTATCGTGCCAAGAGGGGCGTGGAGGATGCCATTCTCTTGTTCTTAGAACGTTTAAAAACACATAGACACACCAAGAAATTTTGCAGGATACTTTTTGCGGATTTTTCATCCGCTTTCAACACAATCCAACTGCACATAATGGTTTCAAAACTAATTGACATGAACTTAAACAAGAACATTATAGCTTGGGTTCTTGAATTCTTAACCAATCGACCTAAATATGTAAAATTAAATGGTGTAAAATCCGACCTAATATTTACGAACGCAGGTGCGCCCCAAGGCTGTGTTATCTCCCCTGTCTTGTTTACGCTCTACACCAAGGACTACTTTTGATAACAAAAACATCAAACTAATAAAATTTGCCGATGATTCCATTCTACAAGGCCTTATAACAACAAATGGGAATGAATACAGGGACACTGTAAATCTATTTACAAATTGGTGTGATAACCACTTCCTTTTACTAAATGTAAAAAAGACAAAGGAATTAATAATAGACTATAGAGTGAAAAAAGACCAATTGGAACCACCATTTATTAAAGACGAGGAGGTGGAGGTGGTAAGCTCTTACAAGTATCTTGGAGTAACAAACTTGAGTAGCATCCCCATGCTGCTCTTGTGCATAAAAAAGTAAATCAAAGAATGTTCCTTTTAAGGAAATTAAGAAGTTTCCATGTTGACAAAAAGATTATGTCCCTTTTTTACCATTCTATGATTGAAAGTGTGCTATTATTTTGTATTTGCTGCTGCGGTGGGAATTGTCAGGTGAAAGATAAAGAAAAATTTGACAGAACCTTTAAGAAAGCCAGCAAGATCTCTGGATATGATTTTAATAGAATGGATGAAATGTATAACACCACACGTATAAAAAAGATAAAAACATTATAAACGACCCATCAGACCCCTTTTCCACACAAATTGTAAGATCACGCAACGGCAGATATGTGCGTAAAAAAAACGAAGAAAGAAAGATATAAAAGAAGTTTTTTACCATCTAGCATAAGGCTTTGTCAGAATGAGCATAGATGTGTGTTGCTCTTAGAGTATGTATCTATAGATAACTCCAACGGTCTTGTATTTGAATTCCTGCATGTGGTTGAATGATGCATTTAATTTGATGTGAATGTACATTTTGTCAGCTTTACTCTTCTTTTTATATTGAATTTTAATGAGAGTAATATATAATTTAAATTTTTTTAAATATATGCCTGCTTGTGTTTTTACGGTCCTGTACAGCTAAGAAAATTTTCCCTCTGGGATAATAAAGTATTATCTTATCTTATCTTATTTTGTTTTTTAAAAAATGCAATCTACTTTTTGTAAGAAAGACCAATGATCTTTGTAAAATCGAGAATTGTGTTGGTATCAACGATGGGAAAAAGATTCTTTAAAATAGTGAATTTAAAATAGTTCTTTTTGGTCTCGCCAAAGTCCAGACATTCTATTAGGATGTGCGTGATTAAGTTTTACAGCTCTTGGAACTCAAAGTCTGCCTCTGTACGTCATATAATGTCGCCCCAGGGCTCTCTGTATAGATAACTAATACATCATACTACCCCCCCCCCTCCAACACCCT